CGGATTTCTCAGTCTTCAAAATCCCCAGTTTTCTTGAATATTCTAAAATTCAATATTGTTCCCACCCATTCCTGCTAGCCTACATTTCATTTACGGACGCTTTGAAGCCTTTTTTCCATGCTTTCTCAATTTTCCCTGAGCTACGCAATTGAAAGGACACCTTTTTCTTGCCCCCTGAGAATTGAACCTTCCATATGATAATGTTTCCTCACACAAACTCTGTAGGAGGGATAACAAAAGGGACAACAAAAAACGAAAAGTGGAAGGCAGAAAACAGTTGCCACTGCGTTCCCAAGGTCACAGCTCACGATAATCCAGGGATACCTAGCCCGATTGAAGCATTGAGAGCCGTGGTGTAGAACAGTGCAAAAATAGCGAAGGAAGGGCCTAATTCGACGAATTTTGAGCAATATAAGGCTTCTAAAAGATAGGAAGAGAGATGGTTTCACGAGATTCATGTCTGTGACCATCTGGGTGCCTCACACCTAGGCGTACTATTCGTCGGCGTCCTAACGCTTTACTGTGAATGGTGCAACTCACTAAGGCCGTCATAATAATCACTTTCGGGTGTGTACGTCGACCAAGCCCTTATAAAGTGAATCGAATTCGAATCGTGCACTGTACCTCTAAGAGAATCGGCAGACGGTTACGATTCCCGACCACATCATCTCCAGGCAGTTCCTGTTTCATTTACAATGCCCGGGACCATCCCTCTCTCTTTCCTCTCAACATTGAACCATCGATTTGCTCAATGTGTAGCATTTCCAACCAAATCTCTGATTCGACTCGGAAATTTAACTGACGTTCAGGATATGATGGACCCATCGTTGATTAATAGCATATGTATGCAGATTGCCAGATACCGTAACCTAATTTATCGTGGCACGAAGCCAGAATTCGAATCGGCAGCTCAGCGCCACGAGCCCGAGCCAAGCCATCTGCCCTCAATTTGGCCCTAGCAGACCTATACTCCAAGTAACCCTTTAAAAGCTACAGGCTCCCAAAAACTAGTTTTGTTTAAAACATTTCCTCGCCAGAAATAGTCCTTCCTACTTAGTACAAGGTTTTTGTAAGGAACAGGCGCCGACCTTACAGTAGTAACAACCACACCCTGTAGGTCGTTCTTCAAATACTACTTCATCATACCATGTCGTAATTTACACCCCAAAAGAATACGTTTATGATGGATACTCCATCTGGGCGGGTAGACACAGACCCCAGTTGGAGAATGCAGCAACTGACGAGATGGGAACCAGTTCTACGCCAACAGCAGTTTGCAATGCGATATGGACTCGGCTTCTAGGAATGCTGCGTAATGAAGCAGCAGTTCTTGGCTAATCAATTACTTATTCTCCATCTGGTCTTTTTTGAATAACTATGTTTCAGCTCTCTTGCCAAACAATCATGATCTCTTTCTTTGAGTGACAGTTTTTCATTTTTCGTACGAGATTACCTTTGGAAATAGGAATCATACTTCAGCATTCCTCATTTCATTGTTTCGTTCAGCTTCTCCAAAGGAGAAGTCAATTTAAGCCATTGGCATTGCCGTAATCCCTTCTGAGCAGTCATGTGCTTCTGCTCAGATTACCTAGCCGTATGGGAAAGGCTTTCGGAAAGTTGCTGAAAAAGTTAGTCATCGAGGCAGAGGAGCTCAAAGTTTAAAGCTACACCAAGGTCGTCTTGGAAAGCGGGGCCACAGTGGACCTTGACCTTTTCTTGTACACTCTTCTTGTGATTCTCTGTTTTCTCAACAAAGACCATAAACACGCCCTAGTGAATGGAAGAGTTGTTCGTTGCCTCGGAACCGGATTAGGAAAAAATAGAAAAAATGTCTGGCAGAATGCTCATAAACCTTCTTAAGTATTTTTGTTGTTGTTGCTCACCTGGGAGTTGATTACTCGACCGCTCATGGGAACTTTACGAGCGCCCTCTTGTTTCGCAATGTCGCTTGAAAAAGAAGATCGAGGGGAAGTTCTGGGGTTAGAATCAGAATTCAGAAGCTCTCTTCTGATGGAAATGGGGCGGGTGGGATTTCTGAGCCCAAAACCAGGCTCCGAGCTACTAGTGTTGTGGGCCAGTGTTGTTATGTACTGAGCCTCGACCCGCTGGTGAATCACTGAGTCAACGGGGTGACGTCAGTGAACGTAGTGGTCGCCGAGATAGTGGCCACCTAGTCCAGCCTCCGCCCACAGCCGCTCCTTTTCCTTCGTTCAGAGCCGACAACCCATTACCGACGAGGCCGCTTATTTTACGAGTTGTTTACTGCCTTAACTGAAGGCCTACTATGGGCTTGGCGGTTTTCTTTATTACTATCTATAAAGTCATAAAAACGTCAGTAAACGAAGGCTATCTATGCAGACAACAAGGAAGCGGGTTATTCACCTGAGTAGTGTTGCCTTTACTCCACTCCATGCGTCTACTTCCTCTATGTCCTGTTATTTTAAAGTCACGGACGGCAGCCGACACCCCGAAACTGGTAACTTGTGCAGTCTCAAGTAGCAATTTGAGGACCGAAGCTGTGTTTGGGGCCATATGAGGACGATGAACGGCTGGATTGGGGTTTGTCCGCTGACAGCTGATTTTTGCTCTAACCGGATGATATGACTAAGCATGACTAACCACATGGAGTCCAGCCTCAGGACTAGTTGGCGATGAAGGCAGAAAAAGGCAAAAAAAAGTCTGGTTCATGGTCTTTTTCCCTCTTCTGGCGATAGGGAAACTGTGCAAAACGTCGTTAAGATAATTTCGCTTCTTCTACCCGTTTCTTCCTCTTTCGTGGCCCTCCGGCAAAGACAACTCCTCGTTTTGTTACATATTAGGAATGGTTTTTTACCCAAATTATTCCATCTCTTTAGTGTTGCCGAATTTTTTTTTTCGATTCGTTTGTCTGTCAGTAGCGATCAGCTGAGAATCATCGCTATCATCCTCTGTTTGCTCTCGAGCTTTTTATTCCCTCCGATCGCGTAGGATCACCTGATATTCCGTCAAAAAGTCAATAACGACTAAATGGTCCTATGAAATTAATAATTCGCAATAGAACGCTCCATGTAAATTGCCGCTTTGAAACGTGGCCATGGAAAATACGCCTCGATTATATTTCTGATAGTTGGCATCTCGAATGCAATAAAAAGATGTAAACGAAATTATTAGACGATCCCTCCATCAAAAAGTATCACCTGTTTTGAAGGTATTCAATGAGAAACAGTAATATCAATCATAAGTTATGGGCTATGGAAATTGAGGAAGGTGACTTTCCTTCTGCTATTGCTTGAATGATTTATTTATTCATTTATTGACCGATTATTACTTGGATTACTCGAATCATTTTGAAGTGGAAATGGAACGGGAGTACCAGTCGTATTAGTGCATTTCCAAACTGGAATAAGAAATAAAATGTTTTTTGTGAAGTTTTTGAATAACGGTGAAGGAATAGAGGAGTAATTGCTGAATATTACAATAATTTATTACTATCAGTTGAGTGTGACGTAAGAGAGGTTTCAAAGATGTACTTTTGCCATATGGGCGTAAATCATTCACGTGATCATTTTCCATAAGTTGAGCGGCATTACTTACCTTATTCAAGCCATCAATCAAGAACATCTCCAACGGGTAGAACGACACTTTTTCGTCAATCTTAAAAGTAAAACTACGGACTTATGATCGGATTTTTTTCGAAATCAGATTATGATAGAATAAAATTTTTGGCTATTAAGCGCAATCAGCTTCATTAATAGCAAATTAATGAGCCTAAGGCATTTCATCATAAGCCATCAACAAAAATTTGTGCGAAGACGGCATGGCGCATACTGTAGGCCTAAACCACGCACATTTTACTGTGCTTTTCTCGCACCAAAAAGGGAGGGTCAAATATTTTTCATCCAAAAACACGTACACAATATGAACTTGCTTGGGTACTGTTAATACGTAACTTGAGGAGATTTACCCAAGTAGAAAAAATTGGGCTGCCAAACAGCTGAAATCAAATCTTTGCAGTTTTCTCGACAATGCTAAGGCCAATCAAGCATCTCATAGAGCAAGTGAAATTTGAAACGGGATGCAAGTTTGATTTTTCTTGAGTTACTGTATCTGAAGGGGGTACGGTATATTTGGAGTTCTGTAATACTAAAAATTGGTGGAGTAACATAAGCAAGAAGTGTTCTCTGAGCTCTGACCACTCAGAACCACGTGTTTTTGTAGTGAAATCTCATTTTTGGACCTTCCTTTGAGCCACGCGCTTTACATGTGGCCATATACCGTAGCTAGCATGATCATGTGATTCCCACTGACCTTGTGTCTTCAGCGAGGAGAACCTAAATCAGTGATCGCAGTTCAGTGATAGCCCAGAATCTTGCAAAGAGGCCTATGGCCTTGTGTTTTCGCTCTTTTATGAGCGCTGAGCGCGTGAGCGTTTTGCAGCTGGTAGGGTGGAATCGAAATGTGGTCTACAGTTCAGTTATGTACTATGAACCCTTTTCTATGAGTATTTATAGAGTTACGAATCCCGAGACTGTTGTGCAGTTTGTTTTCGAAATTTCCCTTTTTGATCCCTCATGTCTTTTAGTCATGGGGTTTTAAGAATAGTTTCAATATGCAGTCCTTGTTACATCGGAGCTGGCAGTAGGCCGTGCGACTAGGTATGACCTTCAACTCACGAAATATTATCATACTTCAGATGGCTCCTCATCCTCTCGGTTGCCTGAGATAGCCTTAATCTTTAGAATATTCTGAGAAGATCAGCATGAAATCCTTATTCGCTTCATACTTCTCAAGAAAGATTTATTTTGCCCTATAGGGAAAATTTCCAATTGACTTTCCCTTTCAACGAGTTGTCCGTCTCAGAGAATGAGAACCAAAAGTGAACTGGCTTTCGTCAAGAACTCCCCACGCTCTCTCAGATCTTCGTGATTTGGAAAACTATTTATCTTATAGATCTCGTACTTGCACCATTTTTGTAACTTTCATGTGAGTAACTGTTTTTAGTAAGTAGGATCGGTTTCAGGATGTCATTACTCCTCTCTGGGTGGCCGGAAAATTCGGAATCCCGTCAGCGTATGCTGGAAAGTTCATCTAGCGCCAATTTTCCGACCCATTATGCTTACCAGAAGGTGACTATTTTGCAAATTGGTTTTGTATTAGTCTTTTATCCATTCCTATTTTCTGTTTTTTTTTTGTTAGAGAGGGTATTACCGGTTTAACCTACTAAGCTACCGAAGACGTCCGACAAGTAGCATCTGATCTACACATAGTACGTCTTCGATTCAGACTTGTTGTTCATTCCAACACTCCAATTGTGCCGGTGGGAGGACCCCATTTGGTACCGTTTTCAGACCCTATCCGTTTGAATTCACTTTTCGATCTTCATGAGTGGGTTTTTCCTTTGGAATAAACTAACGCCAAACTGGGTTAGCACAACACTTCTCTTTGAAAATCATCCATCAACGTTCTACGCATAACTTTGTGATAAGATAGTCATCAGTGATAATGATGACAAAATGTCCTACTTATCAATTTCAGTTTACGGTGGCGACTAATCATTGGTTTTCCTCATTACTCAGAAGGGGTTTTGTATAGTTCCCACCCACATGATTTTTTGAAAAGGTCTGTTCTTATGCATAACGAACTGGGTCTGGGCGAATTCTGAGATCAATGAGTCCGACTTCGAGAAAATGAGTGATGAGGGGCTTCAGGTACTGAATGAAAAATGGTACTGGTCCTGATGTTATGGTCCAGCTGCCATCACAATTGAGCACCCTATCGTCTCTGTCATCACGATAATATTAAAAATGCAATTAATTAAATGCAGAGCGTAAAGCTTATACCAAAAACTCCCACGCTGGGTCGCCCTTCGGTTCAAGGAGCTTGTGCATGTGTTGGTGTGGCTTACACTACTTGATGGGCGTGGTTTCCCACAAATGACGGACTCACGAGATTTTCTTGAAGGTCAAAATAACTGTACCATTCAGCTAGCTGTCTTCTGAACAGTACGTCTAATTGTTTGGTCAGCGAGAAATATATTTTTTCATAAAAATTTCCGCCTTTCTGGCCTACTTGAATGCAGTCTTCGATTGTCCAGTAGTCTTTGGTTGGGGACGTTTGAACTTCTAGTTTCGTAAACGGATTCATGCTTACCCATGAAATGTCTCAAGCGTATGGAGGTGGTCGACATTCATAACCGCGATCCATAAAACCGGACCGCGATCGTTTCACGTCATACCGGAAATTCTTCAGGTGATTAGGGGACACACCACCTTTTTTTGGGACCGTTTTGGGTGCGTCAACAAAAACCGCTTTTTGGCTAACCCATTGTCCACGAGCTCTTCACACCGAGCGACATGCACATTTTTACGGTATGTACATCATTTCAGTGCAAATCCTTCACCATATTCGAGTGCTGTCCACCTGATTGTAATATAATAATATGGGCCGGAATACCTGGTTTGGCCACTGATTGGAATGTGGGCTTGTCCACGTGTCTCTGCCAATCCACTCACTGTGGACAGTAACTTTGGGGAGTGGAATAGGACGATTTCTCATTTTTTCCTTCATTACTCTTTCACTCTTCTCAAACACCTTTACTGCCTTCCAATTGCTCTTGCTCGTCTCTGATGCTGCTGAGTTTCATATGCACTTGAATACATTGAGCATCAGTAAACTGAAGTTGCTGATATCATCGCCTGGTTGGACTAGCCTGCCCTTCTACCGAGACTGATAAATTCTAGAAATATTTCTTTCCCTTGTTCAGCACCCCCTTCCCCCTCCCTTTCCATGCCTACATAATGACCAAGGTTGCTCAGGCGTAATGATCGTCCAGCCCAAATTTCTCTGTTCGTGATGACAATGTTCCCATATGGAACAACTTGTAACAGTTTCTCTTGTTGCAAAAAGATCGATGACGCCATCGGCTTCGAACATTTGACTTTTATGGTGAATATGCTCGACAGAATCACATTGTTCCGCAGAAATGCCAGGAAAAGAAGGCGGGGAGGATGGCATTGATGTGATGACTTTGCTTTTATATGGTGTTTTTGTGATTGAAATGTTTCCTTCGCATAAAATCGTTTTCAAAACCTCCTAGAACGTCAGAACGTTCCCATTCCCACACATTCATCATTCGTGACAACATGGTCAAACAAATACTTTTATAAAAGGCATGTGTTCCCTGTTCAATTAGGAAGTTCAGAACTTCACCACTCAACTTCGATAAGGCATTTGCGACGGCTTTAATTGGCTTTTAAAACTCCCTTAACCACCCGCTTCTGCAGTCGATGGAATTATCTCAACGATGGTGAGCCGTACCCGAGAAAAAAAAAACCCATAAATCGTACATTCCATTTAAAANTCGTGACAACATGGTCAAACAAATACTTTTATAAAAGGCATGTGTTCCTTCCAATACATCAATCAGGAAGTTCAGAACTTCACCACTCAACTTCGATAAGGCTTTTTCGACAGCTTTAATTGGCTATTAGAACTCCCTTAATCACTCGCTTCTGCAGTCGATGGCATTATCTCAAAAATGGTGAGCCGTAGCCGAAAAAAACCTCAATAAAACGTACATCCCATTTAAAAATTAATAGTTTTCCAGCTTGAAGAGAATTTCCAGAAATTTCTAAAATTGTTAATTCGACCACATCGACTAGTATTTTCAGGTGACGAAACTTCAAATTGGGTTAAACCTTTTGCAACGATGCAAGACGGCTTTGATATTGCTGGGCACACCACTCGCCTTTGGCCCGTTGTTGATGTCTCCTGAATCGGTACGATCATTTACAATAAATTACAAAAAAAGTTTCTAAAATGAACCAGTAATAAACAGTAGAAGGACTTGGTGGTCGTGCCCGGAATCGAACTCTGCTCCAAATTTCTTCAGAGAATCGTTCTAAAGAAAAAGCCTCGGAGTATTTTCAAAGCTAGCCATTATATACTATTGTCTAGACAGCATACCCTTCCAATTAGATCTGAATTCTAATGAAAGTCCAACACGTAGCGTAGAAATTGACATTCGTAAGACGGTTTTTTTTATAAGAATTCTCCTTGTCTCCGAAACAAAAACAATTTTAGAAATGATCACTTTTTACCACTGTTATTACTATTATTATTATTATTATTATTATTATTATTATTATTAGTTTTATGAGATCTGTCAGATTTAGGAATGGCGTTGTGCTTTTTGCGTGGGTGTGATGGCCATCTACTGGATGACTGAAGTGTTGCCGTTGGCCGCCACGGCTATGCTTCCAGTGGTTTTGTTCCCATTGACGAATGTAATGGATTGTAAGGAAACAGCACAACAATTCATCAATGTAAGGCTGTTTTTTAGCGTTTTTGTTTACATTAATTTTATTATTACAGTAATATTATCACTAATAATGGCTTAGCTTTTCGCAACCGTATCACCTTACCTGTAACTTCTAAAGGTCTAAAACACCTTGCAAACTTATCACCGTAAATGGTAAACATGTGGTTCCTAGAGTAATCTTGCTGATAAAAAGGTACCAACCTATTTACATAAGCCTTCACCTTTCATTGCCCTTGAAAAACATTTCAATCATCTCCGGGCGAACTATACGAAATGGATTATATACAAAATGGGTAATGGAACTTCTCCACGAATTCCCATGGCCTGCGGCAGTGGTTCCGCGGCGACTCTCCGTATCCTTCCAATGGGAAGCACGACACGCCGTTCGGGGAGAAAATGCCAGACCCATACGAAATACAGCTGAATTAGGCGCGTGGTCGCGGAGCGGCTACCGAAGCCCTTCTTCATCCCCCAAGACAAACCTGGCACCAATTACCGGTTTCGGAGGGATGGAGAGAACCGACCTGGGATTAGAACCCGGACCATGCATGGGATAGTGTGCCACTCGCCACTACACCACCACCGCCATAAAATTATCAACAATATGAGTAGTAACAGAAACATCGGAACGCTCGGTTTTCGCCATCTCGTTCCTCGATCTAATTTTCCTTAATGGTATCGAGTTCAGCTTAAAAGCAATCTACGATCTCTAGGGCTTCCGGCGGGTTCAATTTCACCGCATGATTTTGTGGGCAGGCAAGCAGCCGCTACTCACGACAATCAGGCGCCATGCTTTGCAAATTTACACAAAGGTGCCGTCGTCGACAAATTCATAGGGATGAATTGTTCTGAATAAATATAAGCCGTCGAATATGAGAAATAACTCCTGGAGGGTGAACAACAGGGATTGCCTTCTGATATTGATAATAAATAACAAAATAACCCAAAAAAGCTGATTTTTAAAGTTCTGACTGATCGAAAGAAAGAGTTGAATGCTTCCCCCACCAGAAGCTGAATCTAAAGGAAGTCGAAAAAGTGGAATGAAATTAACCCAGTTGGGCTAGGCGCTTGCTGGCTGGGCGTTTGATTGCCAGTGCTTTTCTACGCTACCAGTCCACCGGCTCTTCGTGGCAGATTTAGGAGTTATACAGTTGAAGTCGAGGACTGGACAATCTCACTCCCACTTCCAACTATCTGGGGAGTTTCCAGCGAGATTTTTCGCAGGTTTATTCGGGGTTCTGAAGTCCAAGATTAACCCATACCCCTATAAATGACTGATTCTCGTTCTGCAGAAAGCCTGGGGTGTCCCAGCTAACCAAACTCCAACCTAGGCCCATCTAAGGAGCAAGACCAGAGTTGTACAGTATTATTACTGATTATATTTCATATTTTTTGTAGGATACAAACTTCTTATTCATCGGTGGTTTGATAATGGCAGCAGCAGTGGAGAAATGTGATTTACACGAACGGGTCGCTTTGGCTGTACTGAAAATGGTCGGTGGAGAGCCAAAATGGTGAGATTTTTTTGAAGTTGCTGTCAGGTATTCACTCAGACAAGTGTGAAGGGAGAAATTATAATTCTGAATCCTTTCCCATTTAGGATTATGCTCGGGTTCATGACCGTCACGGCTTTGTTAAGGTGAATTTGAATTCAGTTGAATTTTATCATTGGGCACTTCAGAAAAGTGAATTTTTTTGATATGGTTTATTTAAAATGCCGAATTTTCAGTATGTTCATCTCGAATACGGCAACGACAGCAATGATGGTACCCATTTGCCAATCGGTGATCGGCCAACTTGTCGCTTCATACAATGCTCATCCGGAAAATGGGTAGGTTTTGAATCTAGGATTCCCACTCCGTTCTTAGGCTCGGGTTTTAGTTGTTGCTTTGCTAAAGGCGTTCTTCACATCGCCTACTTCGAAAAACTCGCATGAACCTTTCGGAAGGCTTTCAATCTTTCAGAGTCCGTGATCGGGCAGCATGTAAGCGGATGTCAACAGGATTGATGCTGAGTATTTGCATAGCTGCCAATATAGGTGGTACTGGAACGATCACTGGAACTCCAAGTAACCTGGTTATGATCGGATCGTTAAACAAGTAAGTAAAACTGTCTCTAGAATTGAACTGGATTCCTTTGAATACATCAAAAAGGATAGAGGATCTGAAGCAATACGGTAGTCCACTCTACCCATGGCGCAGAACCTTCCTTATTGGTCAACCCTGTAAGGCAGGGCAGTTTCTGGATCCACCTTTCTCATTAGTCCAGTATCACCGATTCATAGAACTTCATGATGATCCGGAAAATAATTCAGAGACACTAGGCGCTCTCTGAGATTGGGCGGTGTTCCCATTCCCTGAGGGTGTCCACTTATGGAGGGTATTAAAGGGAGCGGGACTAACAAGAATATGAAACCACAATCTTTAACTGTTCTAGGAATCAGTTTTGAGTTAGTTTTCCGTGATATCAACGAGGATCTTGCAAAGATTCGGCAAAGATCGGGAAACTCGTTCGTCTGGTCTTCGGCGACTGATAAATTGCAGTTTTTGAAACGTCTCTGGTCTAGGTATTGGCCCGTCTCGACCTTTTACTCTTCGCTCCTCGTAACAGCTGTCTGACAAATCGCGGGTTTTTGTGCTCGGCGACCTCTCAACGTCACACCACGTTACACTCCACGAGCGCGTGGGGTCCACACGCAACCGTCGGCATTTGGAACGAGTTCAGATTTTGCTATTATTAGCGGAGTGATCAAAAATTATGGGTAACAAAAAATATAAAATAGGTATGATATAAAAACATACTATGAAAATATGGAAGGATTGAAGTGCAGAAAGGCATTGACGGCCTGAGGATGCGCCATGTACCATCAGAATGTTCAAGGTCGCAAAGATAATGTGTGCCTTACTGATTTGTACTATGATTCGCGACATGAGTGGGTATAGTCCCCTATCTTTCCACACATGTCTGTTACCAGTTGCCAGCTACCACACCTGGAAAGTGCTTGAACGGCCCATACGTGTGCAGTGCAACTTGTCAGTCTCATCTACTTCTTAACTTGTCAGTCAAAGCGAGAAGAGGGAGGGGATGGGTGAGGTCAAGAATGATTGTCTCATTACGAAAATTTTTTTCGAATGAAAGTTCCTGCATCATTGTTTCTACAAATATTTTTGATATTTTTGAAATTGCGACTCAATTTAACCCGTTTACAGCTTGTATCCGGAGAGCAAATCATCAATGAACTACATCACATGGCTGCTATTTGCATTCCCGTTGATGTGCATATGCCTAGCAGCCGGTTGGCTCACTCTCACCCTGTTTTTCCTGAGAAATGTACCCGGCAAAGACGAACATGTCACCAGGCTCATGCATAAACGATACGATGATCTGCCCAGAACAAGGTCAGTCTGCTTCTCAGTGGTTCGATGGGCGTGGTTTCCTGAGTGTGGGCGGGAACCGGTCACGTTCTCGGAGGATTTTTTTGAACAAGCTGTTTGGAAAAGAGAAGCGGTCCACTTTTCGTAGGAAATCAGGGAAAATTTATTTCGAGTTTCGACAAAGATAATGGTCGGGGTTTGCACAAAGTGGGCGGGATGTTGTTTGTCCCAACTTCTGCATATTCGGACATAGATTAAACGGGAGAAAATGTTCATAACAATTTTTCTTTCATTCATGTTTATCTTCTGCTTATTTATTTGTTTTAGTTACGCTGAAAAATCTGTTCTATGCTGTTTCTGTGTGTTGCTGGCTCTGTGGATATGTCGGGAACCAGGATTTTTCACAGGTAACTCATACAATGTTACTCTAAGTTCACATGGCAAGAGAAAAGATTAAACAATGACGAGTAAAAACAACAGACAACACCAGCAGTTCCTCCATATGGTTTCTCTTCAGGCTTCGGTAGTTGGTTTCCAAACAACTGTTACACGGACGCTACGTCAGCTATGATTGTCGCCATTCTTCTCTTTGCTTTACCAAGTGAAAAACCAGACCTATGTACGTATAAAACTAAGGAGGAATTGAAGAAGGTATTTGCTGCTTTACTGAAACGTCCATGCCTATTCCATAGACATTGAATCCTCCCCCACTTACATTTTTAAGACCTCCCGTCTCATGGACTGGCCTACGATACAGAAATCATTTCCATGGAACGTTGTAATGCTGTTAGGAGGCGGTTTTGCCTTGGCTCAAGGTATGTTGCTTCAAATTCGAGTCAAATATTTAGTTAGTTTTTACTCTGGTGACCTTTAAAGCAACTTTTCAGGTGTTCAAAAGTCTGGTCTGTCCGACAAAATTGGTAGTTCATTGACAACGCTAAACCATCTTCCACTGTGGTTGCTACAATCAGTTACGATGGCCTTAGTGATGACCGTAACGAACTTCTGCAGTAATACGGTCACTGCGACGATATTCGTGAACATCGTCGCCAAACTGGTCAGTTTTTTTTCAAGAAATAGACGTATCATAGCAATTTGTCTGTTTCGAGTGACGGAAAGGCTCTTTGTAATCTCAAGATTCCCTTTCCTAACTAATTTCCGGTACTGGCTTATCCGCAATCTGTTTCTAGCTGCTCGATATAGAGGGGTCTCCTTTTNTTTTATTTCTTGGATTAACCTATCCTCAATTGATCAAATACGATACTTTTCGTGAAAACATTTCCGACACCCGTAATCCTTGAAATACTTGACGGGAAAGCCATAAAAGTAGGAGACTGCAGGATAGAAGTAGGAGACTGAGGAGTACGGTAATAGGCAGGGTAAGTTCGTATTTTCTGACAGTAATCTAAAAATTGTTTAGGCAACTGCAATGGAGCGACATCCATTCATCCTCATGCTACCGACAACCATGTCCTGCTCATTTGCTTTGGTCCTGCCTGTTGGAACTCCGCCAAATGCTATCGTATTTGGATCGGGAATGGTGAAAGTCACTGATATGGTAGGCCTTTCGCAATTTTCAATTTTTCTAGCTCCAAACTCGAACCCTACCCAACTTATACCATTCATTCCATTGAACGGCAAAGTTTTTGAAAAAAAATATGTCGCGAACACCATATATGTAGATTGCAATTGATCGTTTCCAACTCGAACATTGATTGGAATATTATTCAATTTCATTTACTGACGATGATTTTGTCCTTTTGGAATTTTCGATCTTTTCAGGTGACCGTCGGCATTATGATATCTCTGGAATGTCTCATTTTGACCGTA